GTTGGGGACACCAGGTACCCGGTAGAAGGTCCTGTGAAACCTCAACGAGTGGCGTGGAACAGAGCCGAGAGCCCCTTCAACTAATACCCGCAGTGACGGCAATGAAGTATGGCCAGGTCCTCAAAGCCGGGAATTTCAATGCTTCAGCAATCGACCTTGAACGGGACAGTGCAACTTCAAGCCGGACTTCCGACTGGAACCCAGTCAACACAATCAAAATGACTGGACCGCGTAAAAAATCAGAGATGACACTAGCTGAGGGTCGGCCGGGGAAGCATTCGGACGGGAGTGATTTCTTACTGACGACAATCTGTTGGCAGAAAATGTCAAGGTTACAACTCCTCCTGGCAGCAGTGATAATGTTATGGCAGTGTTTGACCTAATAATCAGTGGAAAAATAATCGTGAGAGGGATCTTGTCCTTATCGTTGTTACACAGAGTTAACTACGTGGCAGTAAACTAATATCTGTCGGCAGCATCACAGCATCAGGGGAAAAACTTTGTATCGACCGACAACCACTGCGACATCATTGGGAGGACGATTTCCGGGAGTGTCCCACCAGTGGCGACAATGCCTAAGAAGCAGGCCTCATCACTCAGCGTCTCCTGAAAGCCAAGGGTAAAACATAGCATGAGTGGGAGACCTCCAGAAAGAGTCACATCATAGCCCATATATGACTATAGGGCATCGATGCCACATCAAGGTGCAGTGGGACAGGCGGCCACTGCAGACAAGCCTGGCCTAGAAGCCTGTAGTGAGCCCCACGAGCCCATGCTGGTTCGTTACACAGATAGAGTCTGCTGAACAGAGAGCTTTGGCCGTGCAGAGAGGCTTTCTGGGCTAAAGATTTTCAAAACTTTTAGTTCAGCCTTCAACGCAAAACTAAGCACTCCTCCATCCAACCAAAATTGCTAACTGCCCGAACAACTATCAACGTTACCAACGTAGAAGGGTAACGCGGGCTAAAGGACCCCTGTCATGGTCCTCGAAAATCTGTCAGAGCCTCTCGTAGGAAAATCGTCGGATGAGATGACATTCGGCCGTCTGTTGAAACAGTCTGCGAGTGCCCTATGTGGTCCGCCCTGTAATGCATTTCAACTCTTCTTAAATAAGCACGTGTTTCCACGGGAGTGGAAGCATGGTATTCTTTCTCCCTTATTCAGAAGAGGGGAAGGGTAGAACCCGGAGTGTTATCGAACCGTAGCGCTTCTCCTAGTAGTGAGAAGCCTGATGGACGACCCTGCTGGGAAATACTTGGATAAAAGTGGGGTACCAAGTGATGCTCAGAATGGCTTCTGAGAGAATAGGCTCTGTGCATCGAAACTTCTGTCAGTCCGTGGCAAATGAACAGCATGCTAGGGCCTCGAGTTTTGTGCTCATCTGATCCTCCTGGATTCCACGAAAGCCCTTGACAAACTCTCATGTGCCACCCTCACACGCGAAATAGTAATGGTGAGTACCAACGGTCAGGTATCATCCTGCTCTTAGGACTACTTGGACGGCGGAAAATTCCGCACAAAGGTGAACAGGGCTCGCTCTACTTGGATGGCATCATCCGGTGTATCATTAGGCGCGATTCTGGGTCCACTGGGGTTTCTTCTTTCACTTCACAATTAATCGCGGCTCCATGGTACTATGCAACACTGACGACGTTAAGTTATGGAGGGGTGTGTCATCCGGAAGTTGATGGAGCGTACCATAAGATGGTCTTGGTTTGCCTGGAGAGTGGGTAAATGAAAACGGACTGGCAACTAACGTGGATAAATGCTGAACTACGCCTTTCTGTACCTCCAACTCGTTGAGAGTGACCTTCTCTCTCTTTATGGTAGGTGTCGGACCCGGTGTTTGCGGACAACGCCAGACCTGATTTATTTCAGGCGATCAGAACATAGCATGCAAGAAGGTAGTGACATTAGCATACGGCGTTTGCTTCAAGCACCCTAGTGGGCGAGTGAAGCGGGTAAACTTGGACAATTACATTTTGGGAATAGAAATCCAAAGGGAACACAAGGCTTAGGGAAGATAGAAACTCATATCAAGTTTATTGGAGCTCTATATACGTGCCTTCTTTGCACATGACCACGGGGAACATCCTGGGACTAATACTGACTAATAAGCTAGACACAGTTATGCGGTGGACACCTTCAGAGCCTACTTATTGTTACACTTGATGCGCAGCGAACTAGGTTTCCTCACCCTGAAACTGTTTCTGAAGCCCTAACAGACCTTTACACGAACTCGCTTTGAGGTCCACAACGTCGTTGCACTACCACACCTGAAAGACACGTGGACCTCCTAGAGTTGTAAAGGGTGCCAATGGGATGTGGCAGAAACTGCTGGGATGGACTGGATAATCCAAGCCACTACTACCTTGGCAGCCGAAGGTAACGTGGTGAGTTGATAACAGCCTAGGAGATACTAAGTAATCCAAATTGCCTGAGAGGTGGGATTCTACCGAGCAGTCACCATGGCAATTCTCGTGGCAAGCCGGAGATAATCGCCCGCCATCAAGCGAAAACTCATGGGTGTTCACACTCTTTCACTCTCAGAGTCTGCGGCTACTGAAACGCGTTACCTGCAAGGACTGCCACTGCTCCGTCTGTCGATGCCTTCAAGAAGAGTTTGGACAGCAATGCCAACGCTTGCTCTCATCCAGCTGGGGGACGGGCCAGGCCAAAACAACCAAGTGATTCATCATCATTTCAACACAGCTACTCCATGTCACCTCCTCTATACCAGCATTATTATCATAATCGACTCAACCTTATACTCCCCTGTAAGACGTCTCACTTCTGGTCACCATAACCCCACTAACGATATTCCTATTTCCATTCCCATTATCCTTCATATGATCTTACCCGTTCTTTCTCCCCCCACTGACTCTGGAATTTCACCCTCTCGACTAAGGTCTCCACCATCACAGTTCTCTTGTCCGCCTTCTCTAAATCTATTGAGGCCCCTACATTCATTTTGCTGTGCTTCTTTTAAACTTGTTTCTCCTCACTTCCTCTCCTTCGTTTTCACTGATCTGCATCCCATCCTTCATGTCTTCTTTTTACAACCAGTCCGAGCAACGCTCCGGTGACGCGAAGTCTGAGATATGCACCAGCCTCACATTTATGGAACGATTCGTACAATCCCCATAGAAATTTATTCAGCACTTAACTCTCCACTGGGTTTACAGCAGGCTAGGGGGTGCGGTAACGGTACCGAAATCCAACGAAGACCTAGACCCGGTCCACAAAAACTGGAAGCGAGCGAAAATAAACCGTCTAGTCTATACAAGCCAGTAAAATTATGATGGATATTCGAAAAGGAACCTTGCTTCTAGAACAAGAAGCGAAAGTTTAAAAACTACCGATTTCCTTAACTCACATGGTTGATTTTGACATCCACTGCATCTACAGACACCGACTGGTCACGCAAAAGCCCATCACACACTTTTACCAGCCGTCTTAATTGAACCGCAGTGTGACTTTTCTGTTTACTCGACATTGAACTTCGAGCAGTTTGTTATAAATCTGTTAACGGACAACAGGCCATAAATGGTTCCGCGGTCTCTTAGGTCTTTCTTGATGTAAGTGTTTCTAAACATTGTGTCTGCAAAATAGGTATTAGTGTGCCAGTCTTTTTGAGTGATTTATTATACTTGGAGTCTAAAACAATTGTAGATGACTTTAGCTTCAGCTTAGAAAGTGCAAGGCTTTGTTTTCTCGAAAACCGTAACCCTGGTCGTCGGAAAATGGCTTGAGCTTCAACCTGGAAAAGTGCAAAGTAATACACATCAGTAAATATGAAGCAAGTACGACCGACTTCCAGTAAATGTTGAGCAACCGTATTATCACCAGAGTGTCCACGGAGAACTGGGGCTGGACTTCTCCGACACCTCGGACACTAGCACCAACTGCAAAAATATGACAACCAGGGCGAATGCCATCCTACACCTTTTGCGTAGACAACTTGGCGCCCTCACTCCCGAACTCTTCCTCACCATTTTAAAATCATACGTGCGGCCGCATCTAGAGGTCTTCAATACGGTGGCTCCTCCAACACTCAAGAGAGATTCTAATCTCCTTGAAAAAATACAAAGAACTGCAACAAAATCTGCTGTGGAGCTGAGGGGCAAGACATGTCCTGAAAGACTTGAACACCTAAACCTATTTGCCTTGGGTTATCGCAGGAAAAGGGGTGACCTTATTATGGCATACAAGATCGCCCATCAGTCAGACCATGCAAACATCAATTTCGCCTGCAACTCAACGATCTCCACGAGGAAACCCCATTAAGATAACACACCAGAGAGCCAACAGCATACTCAGGTCCAAGTTTTTCTCCCCGAGAGTATGGAATGCCTTACCGCGACATATCGTTATAGCTCCCTCAGTCGACTCATTCAAGAGACGGTTAGACAGTTGTCACCTCGCGTGATCTACCACGGACGTGCTCAGGTAGCCACCAACCTCACTAGCCCACCCTCACCTCCCTCCTGCTCACCACTCACTGTCTTGCTCCTTAGTACACCCACATTACCTAGTTCTTTTCTAGGAAATAGACCTACGCTGCCTATTTTTACCATTCGCGCAATTCCCACATGCTTTTCTTGCTTGCATTTCTCTTCTTCACCCTCTCCTCTTCTTTTCTCTCCTTTCATTCTTTACCATTGCTTTACTATTCTCTTTCAGGTGCCTACACAGGCATGATAGTCCCCTAACCTTCCCAGCAACCCGTAGCTCCCCGACTTATAGATTACAACTTACTGACCTACGAAACATCCACCTCACCGAGGGGATATCCTCGCCCACTGCAGGAGTGAACCGAACGACTCGAATCAAGCCCTGAGAACTAAGCACGAGAGATCAGATCTATCAGTTTTCTACGCTCCCACTGTCAATATTGGATGTGATAGCACCTGGATTCTCCGATTGTTCTCTAAGCTGCGTAGGCATGCGTGAATTGCTCCGCTTCTTGATTTCCAGATCTTTTGTTTTTAAGTACTGATATGAAGTGTGGCAAGTTATATGGTTACGCAGTAGTGCCAGGTCTCACACTCAAGTAAGCTTGAAGCTGTTGATATTAGAGATTTAGAAAGGGCTTATAAATATGCGTCGCACTTTGCTTTAAGTAGTGTTTGGAACATGTTTACCATTTCATACTTGGGTGGTTTTGTTTGCATATTAATTAAAGGTTACTTTTTATTTCCTACGGATATATTTTGTTGATGGAATTCTTCTTTACAGTTTATTATGAATCAGTTTGGTCATCAATATGGTATCCAAGCATCCGCATTTTATACGGGAGAAATGAACACTTCATTTGGTAAGTTTAATTTTGTTTACTGTGGTTTATTCATCGTCCTCGTCACATAAGTTGTAGTTGAAGTCCCTTTGAGAAACCTTTAGGATCAGCTATATGGTCTTAGACTTGTTGATAAGTACATTTTCTATCAATGAAAATAGAGATTTCGTTTTCATTTCAACATATAACTGTATATGACCAGAGAATTACAGGCAATGGACCGTGTTCACTCACGTATTATGTACCGTGAAATGACCATTGTTCATGCCAATTGATTCCTTGTCTCAGTCATCCATGATCGTCAATATAGTAAATTGTTACCGGACACAAAAAATGGACAGGCGTATGCGATAATTATGCAGCATTCAGTATTACACCACTGAAAGCGATCTAGGTATCAGTAAATCATTTCGTAATATGATGCGGGTTGAATGGCCTAGTTATGGGTAAGCAGTGTCTCTTTCAATGGAGGTAATACAGTAGATTTTATAGAACATAATCTTATTTCTAAACATTGGTGTCATTCGGGTGAAGAGTAGTTACGTTTGGCTAGCATCTGTTGGTGGCTTACGACTCCCTGGATGGAATCCGAGACCACATAGATCAGTGGCAATCATGCTATTTTCTTGTTTCTTCTATTATTTAAAAGTAGAACGATGGTAGTGAGGACCTATCTGCACGTGTGTTCATGAGCGCTTCTCTACTAACCCGTTTCTATTTCTTTAACCTTCCTACATCATTTTGTCTTACTCTTGCCATATATTCGTGCGACGTATCTCCTGGTGCTAATTATGTCCTAAGTTTGTGATTAGAAGTGTAAAAAAACAGGATGACTTAGTCTTCTAGAAGGGTAGTTAAAGTTAATATACCGAATATTATGTACCAAAGCGTGAGTGACACATTAGATTTGATTCACACAACCTGGTTTAGCATAGAGACCATTTAACTCAGCCACGATGAACAAGCTCATGAAAGCCCAGACGGGTATTTTCAACCTCACCTGTGACATCGAGATACACAATTTCTAACCACAAACTAGTGAATGTTTAGCGCAATGCTAAACCTGCAGTTTATGCGTTTGTGCATGTAATTTTCTATGTTGAGTGATGATTGGTGAAATGGAAATCCAGTTTGTGGTAGGAGTTAAACCGGCGGCTTTCTTATAACTGGTCTGGTACTCTACCAACTGATCCACAAGACCTGACTTTTGATAGGATCTTAGTTTCATTTATATCACAAATGACAGACGAAATCAACGTAGAGCCTTGCACAGTGGTGTCTCTGTCTAAGTTGCCAGACTTCACAGTATTATGCAAAGAATAGGTGGATACAATAAGAGTGATATCAGAATGAACAAAGTAGTAGTATAAGAGGACAAACAATTTGAAGATAACGGTTAGTGTGAATATCCAAGCTTTAGATGTCAAGGAGTGAATACATCGGCTCCATTGTGATTAATTTCCAGCCATTTCACCAAGAGTTCTCGATCGATGATTCGTTTCGTATCAAGGACCCCAGCCAGACAGTCTACATCTTCCCACAGGGCTCAGACCAACGGTCAGGGACATCGACTGGTGTCAAGTCTCGGTCTGGACACCCTGAACTTTTTTTCAACCTAGACGAACTTTCACGTTGAGTTAGGCGGTGGCTTGGCATCTTAAGTGCATGTCCAAGCAGTCTCAGCTGGTGAGGGTTCACAACCTCATCAATGGACTAGTCTGTCTTGCCTGGTTCCCTACGCCTGACCCAAACATTGCCCACAAAATAATCCCACCAAGCGCGAGCGATGCTACAAAGATACCTATGATCAAAACCATGTAACCGTTTCCTGTCTCGTACTTTAACGGCCATCTCAAGCTGTGTAGCACGACAAAAAGAACTGCAGGGCAGATTGCTCTTCGTTTGATAGATAGTCGAATATCTCACCATTTGGCGCCAGAAATGACTCAAGTTGGCAAATGTCAAAGGAGCCTTGTATATGCTAACTGCAATTTCCTCAGGAACCAATCCATTCGAGCTTAAGCGACTCCCCAAGTAAGTGAAATGATCGACATATTTCACCATTTCACTCTCTATCGTCAGACTGTTGCACACCAGCCACTACTATGATTTAGTAGACATATCACAAGTTCACACCTGCAAGATATGGTCTGTAGCCTGGAACTTCAGCGAGTACATTGTTGCTGAGTTCTGTATCTTACTGCACAGCTTTGTGTTCTGTCACACTGAACTGCTATGGAAAATAAAGGTCCGAACTAGTTAACTTGATAATACCTTGTGTTTGTTAGCATGTGTACTGCGAGCGCATTGCAAAGTCAGACGTTGGGCTTCTCGTATGGTATGAATTCACCAATCTGTTTTAAGCTTGGTGGCTTGCACTTCGTGTGGACTTTCGGTCACTACCATTTTGCGCTACTAGCCATATTACGCCTAAAAATAGCTTTCTATGATCAACGGAAGGCAGAACACTGATCCATTGTGTTAATAAGTACATGGTTTAAATTTTATAGATTAGCTGATTATGTTGACGAATATGACAAGGTATATTGTTTATACACTTATATTTAGATGGTGTGGTTCGGAGATTAAATCTATCAAAGCGACTAATTGTTTCAAAACACTTGCGCTGGCGGCCATTAGTAACTTCCAAGGATTAAGGCGTTTTTCTCTATTCATAGAGTATTTTCAGTGCAATATGCTATTGTAAAATCCTGAAAAGTCTTGTTTTTCCAGTGCGATCAATTACTGTGATATGCCAAACTATGCTTTTCTGATGTCCTGTTACTTGTCTGTTAAGCTTTCTTTTTCTCCCTAACTTTAGGAAATACTGTTCAAAGACCTGGCTCTAGACCGTGTAGTCTTGAAACACCACCCCAGGATTTTCAGTCCGCGCCTCCTTCCTTTCGAAATGATGGCGGGTATTCGCTCTACCCAAGTTCCCAGTGCTATGCGAAACCTGGTGTATTACCTTCCTCAGACGGATCGTGTGTTAATTTTATGGAACGATCTCCAATGGCATCCGATGGCACAGAAAATACCAGTGTCTCATTTGATTATCAAAATCAATTTAATCTTCGTGTTCCTCAGGAAATACCCAGTTGGATGTCTTTGAATTCTTCAGCCAATAGCTTCTACACCGATATTTACAACAAAACTCTACTGAACCCGGTATCTCAGTCAGTATACACAGGTTCCCCAGTTCGTTACAACAGGAATACTGAAAACACTGCTTTTCAAAATCGTGGGCGTCCTAAACCTTCGGGCCCTCTGAAGGGGAACAAGGAGGTAAGAGATCACACATAGCAATAGTAAGACAGTCGGCAGAATTTTTCTTCACTGAATTTAATTTAGCTTAGTGAAGATTGAAATTTGTTCTTCATTGCACAGCATTGTTGTTCGGTTCTTTTAGTTCTCACCAAATGTGTTTAAAGTCAAAAAAATAATGACCAGAAAAGAAAAACACTGCTTCTCACTTCTTAAAACATAACCACCTATTATTTTTGACTGAGATAGCCGTGGTTTGGCGGGCTGGTATTGATACTGGGTGATGATTGAAGGTGAAGTGAAAATATCGACCACAGTCAGATCCTAACCAGCAACCACCAGGTTTCCAGGCCGATGCTCTACCAACTGAGCTACGAGGTCAGTTGTGCACGGATGGGCCCAAGGTGACTGAGTGTGCTTCGTTTATGCACAAGGCTGATGATTACATTTCAATTCAGTATCATACAACCACATCTTCGAATACATTGACCCTAATTAAGTTAGTGTTGTTTGTAGGCTAGACGAGTTTAAGACACTGCAATACCCTTTTGTCTACATACACTGCGGTAGTATGTGTGTAGCTCATTAATCTTGGGATTAACGCTTTTTCATGTTTTATTCACAGGTTTTCGAAATCCTCCCAACTCTACCGCTCCAAAGGAATCGCGAGTTTTCTATTGTGAAGTTTGCAAAGTTAGTTGTGCAGGTCCACTTGCCTTCAAAGATCATGAAAATGGTCAACGTCATAAAAAACGGTTGTCACAGGTAGGTACACCTCAAATTTACTGATTTCCTCCCTAATGTATCATGTGATAAAACTACTGTCTTGCCATATTGAGCATGGTTGTTTTGAAAGTTGGCTGGTAGGCTTCCTACTTCTCTAGTGTATACATCACTCCACTTGGATAGAGGTTTGTTTCTCATGCCCTGTCATTGCCTATCCCGCTATGCATTGTTATTTGTGAAGTAGGTTTGAGGATAGGGAAAGGTTAGAGGTGGTCAGACTTAATTTGAGCAGTCTAAGTAACTATTGAGTTCCCGATGACGGCGATTCGTGTAGCAATTGAAATTAATGTTTGGCACTAAGGTGCAGGATCGATCTCAGGAACGCAGCTGCATCCACCTATTATCTTCATCCTAATCGTCAAGCTTTATTTTCATATTGTATATAGTCTCTCCCACTTTCCCAGTTATGTATCTTTCATCTTGATGGGTTCTCGACTGATGTGCTAATATGGAGTGCGGTAACTTTGATTGATGCCGGACTCCGTGTTGATGTCACCTCTATCTATCCAGGAGCTACGAACTTCAATCACGATAGGATCTTCAAGATGACAGCGCTCAATAGCGAGGAATCAATCAGTGAAGTTGAGAATCGAATCTAGTGATTTGTTTTACTGGATGAGATGTTGACGACTTAGATCGCTAGACTTTTGTACGGGTGTCGTAGGCTTGTCTACCTTTCCCTGTCAGACAACGTCGTTTCAGTTGTCATTCTTCGATATTATGACAATATTATAACTTCACTAAACTTTTGAATATAGGTTTTCTACACCTTCATCTTCTTCCTCTTAAGTTTATCTATAAACATTAGGTTTGATACCTCGTCAAGCAACTTTTGCGGTCAGTGCAATGAACTGACCTACATGTATCACGGTTGGTGTACTTCTGTGCAGTATTTCTGTGCTCCTGTTTCGAATTTCGTCTGCTGCTCGCTTTTGTTATTCATTTTTCAGGTTTGCCCAACCAGTCCTTCGTCCACATGGGATCCTAGTAGTTTAATTTTTCAGCGTGCACTATGCTATCTAGACCTTATGACAAATACAAAAAGCCAAAGGTCACAGCTATACTACCCCCCCTACCTTCAAGAATATTGTAAGATTCAAATAATAGCCGGGAGTTTCCTACTTTCGAACTGAGCTTGCCTCAGTTTGAACAATTATGCTGGCGTTTATCTGCTTCATTCTTTGCTGTCCGCAAAGCATTAACGTTTTTACGCTAGACGCATCTTTTATGTACCAGAAAGAACGGTGTCCGTTGCATAGCTTCACAGTGTACATAACAGTCAGTTCGCATTACCAAAATGATCACACCTGTAAACCGGTTTGTTTTCATGTAACTTATATCGTATGAAATATATTATTATTATATCATTATTAATCTGCGAAAGGCCTACACGGATATGGCAGTTTTGTTACCCAAAACATTTACCCTTTCATTAGATTCTGGAATGTATCCTGACGGGTGGAAAACCGCCTATAAATTGCCAAAAAGCAAGATAAGCGTTGACAATCACAGACCAATTAGCATAATCTTAGTCGTCTCACGGATTATGGAAACGGTGGTTAGAAACCAAATATCTGGCTGCCTACTAGAATCTCATCATATCATCCCGCCATAATATGACTTTCTGAAGACAAGATCACTCGCTGCAAGCCTGATCAACTTTCTTAACGAGGCCACCCACAAAAGGGGCCAAAAAAGCTAGTCATGATACTTTACTTCGACATCACTAAAGCTTTCGACAGAGTCCTGCACGACTTACTCATTAATATGCTAGGCTCCCTTAGAATCTGCACCCTACCCCCAGACTGGTCAAAATTTTTTCTGTGTAGCCACTGTCAAATAGCAGATGTTGGCTGCACTGTCTCAGAGTCTAAACCAGTAAATGGTGGGGCTCTCCAGGGCAGTATCTTAGGTCTACTTTTCTTCATAACGTGCAACAATAGCATGTGTAAATGTTTCAAGGTAGGCAAGCTATTCCCATATGTGGACGACCTGAAAGTGGTACACACATGCCTAAGCGGTGACTTGGCCTTAACTATCGACTCTATCCAACAGGAATTAAGATATGTTGGCATATGGTGCAACGACTGGTGACTGGAATTTAAAGCAGAAAAATGTGGCTGAATACACTCCGGAGACTGCTCTTGAACTAAGCGTGACGATTGTCAGGCACCCACTCCTAAAACGGAAGTCGATACAAAACTTAGGGGTGCGTTATTTCCACAACCTAACCTCCTCTGAGCACGTATCCATACAGGTGTCGAAGTCATGCGAACTGGTGGGTTTCTTATTATGGAACTGCTACAGTGCCGAGCCTAGAGTAATCCTGCATAAAACATGTGCTGGACCAGTGCTTGAATATTGCTCAGTTATCTACAGCAGTATACGGGTTACGGACAGACTGAAAGTCGAAGGAGCGCAGAGGTGTTTTACAGTGAGAATGCTCAGCCTGAACATCGACGTAAAATGTCCGCCGGATGCAACATCATCGGACTTGAGCCGCTGTGGAAACGAAGGATCAGACTGAACTGGATACTTTTTTATAGGCTTCCTAGCAAACTACCTTATGGTACGTGCAAAAACATATGGTTCATAAATAAAACTGACTGTGGGCTAAGAAGCGCTACCGCAACAGTGGCAGTTGAGCGTTTCAGAACAGCTTGTGGGGAGAACTTCTTCATAATAAAATATGCCCAGGTATGGAACAGTTTATTTGATGAATCACAGGAATCGGACACTGACTAAGTTCATAAGACTGCTCAGCTCCACATTACACGACTACGCTGTAAAACTTAACGCCCCCATCGCGGTACGTTCAGAACTGTGCCACATTTAAACGTGATTTCTGTCGTTTGCCCTGAATCGGTTATTCTGTGTACTGTGGTGTCTAGTACTATCTAAAAACGGTAGTACGCACTTATATTATATTTGGTTGGCGAATTCGTTCAGCTTTACGTGTTAAATAACCTCTTGTTGACGCAACAGAGGAAAAACCAAAAGGCATAACTTGGCTGTGGGAAGAAATAGAGCCAAGCGCTCAAAAACAGAACGTTTTAGTGATAATCATAAAACAAGTACTTCAGGATCCGTCTCCAAATGCAATGAGATAGATGCCTCAACCTGTAGCTTAGATGCGGGAGATACTATTTTACGCACACCGATCATCAGAGCCTCAGACATTCTCCGGAATGGATGCAAAACTCGAGAAAGACCAAAATGACGTTACCGATATTAGAATTATCTTAAATGATACCGAAGGAACGCTGGTGAGATTCTCTCCGTTAGCTTGTTTGTTTGGCCAGACTAACACCCTATCAAGTGACAACTTGCAGAAGGCCAATGGCCTAGTAGATTTTATTGCTACTGAGGTAATAGAACGATCGGCATCTCAGCAGGCTATGGTGTACAATGTACCTGATAACGCAAACTTAAAAACAGCTAGGGGGAGGATCCTAGGGCCTTGAGGTATGGTAAATATGCCCTGCGAGTGTAACTGTTTACGCAAGGAACTTTCACAGGGCAGTTGCCCCATCATCTTCAAGTTTCTAACGCCATTTGACGCCAAAATATTTATTAAGCAGCAGAACACCATTGGAGCTGACTGCAATTTCAAAGAAATTACTATTATGCAAGATAAAACACCCTGTCAACGTAGAAGGCACTTTAGGAATGATTTAGTCTTTCCTTCTACAATTTCAGAGGCACCTAAAAGCATTGAACGGACACATGACAGCAAAAATGTGCGTAGTTGTCCTCCAGCATCACCTGGTAAACAGGCGATTGTGGACCTTGATGCGACTCCTTCATTAAACTTGACAGTCCCTGAGAGCCCCACTCCCAAGACTAACCACTCTGGTCAAAGTATAGTGAGCATCCCATCAAAGGATAGAATTAGGATCAGGTAGCCCTCAGGCAAAACTCTGGGGCCTAGACCCAATACTGGCATTAGACGGAGCAATTTTAAGCGTATTTTGTCTAACAACGGTGAAGAATACTTCGTTGTCAAAAGGGCTTCAACACAAATATGCACTACCAAGCAACACAAACCACTGCCTTGGAACAAAAAAGCTCTTAGCTCATTTCCACGGTCACAACTCGGATTTTAATGGCGGGTATCATGCTACCGCTAATCGCTTCTACGAACCGATGAACCGCAGCACGCCAACATCCAGCATTAGAACTTACCCTACGGGGTCTAGTTATTCTTAGCAGAACAAAGGACCAGGGTGCAACCCATGTGGTCACGACCCTAG